GGAGGGGGTAGGAAGAAAGGAATAAAGGCACAAAACAGAAGAATGGAAATAAAGACAACAACGGTTGGACCAACTGGAAAGAGAACTCATGAGATAACATTTTACTTCAACACTGGAAAGTCACAATAAGATAAAATTTAATATAATTCAGTGTGGAAAGGAAGAGCACATTTGCATTTTAGGAAAGGTGAATGGGATTTGGTCATGCAACCTAAATATACATAGTTGCCCAGATATATCCATACCAATATCCAGAGAGGTTTGCCACCAACATCCCCACTCAAAGGCTTATTAAGCCCATGGAACCACTGATTTTTAGTTTTGTGTCTTAAGATCATTAATAATATTAAAGGTGGCAAAATCCTGTGAGCTCCCCAATCCAGTGAGTGAGCATTTTCATTCAATGAAGGAGGGGGAGAAAAGACAGAGGAGATTTCTCCTGATCACCATTAGTGGCCAGATATACTCTAGTGGCATAGAATGCCACTTGGCACCAGCCTGTGGCAGATATTTTAACAAATACAAATGCATTTTGCATAAGAAAGCATGCAGGCCCTTAAAGACCCAACTCCCAATCCAATACCCATCACAGAAATGCGAATCTTAGATGTGAAAAGGACAGCTCGGCATTTTACTTTGGCTGCAGTGTGGCACTCACTTTCATGCTATGCCTTCTTATTAATGAGGCTGGTTCATATATGGGAGCCACTAGGAGAAGCTTACTAAAATATGACTTTTCCTGGGACAATAAAAATCATAAGATGCCTACAAAAAGGAATGTAGAAAGACTTGATATTATAGATATGACTAAAGGCAAGGAAGGATAATATTTAAAAGAAATAATATATGATACTGATGATGAGAGGCATAGAGGGCATTTAGGAGAAGCTGAGTTTCCACTTGGTTTTGTACAATCAATCTTGGTTACCTCAACAAAAATCAGATCACTACTGTGTCTCCAGCAGGTTTCGTTCACGTTTTGACCTTTATTGTGTCATGGGAAATACTTGTTGTCTGCCCATGTGACTACTACTTTGTTTGAAGGAGTTCTTAAGTCTCTACAGGGATTTTGTCTACAGGTATAACCTGGACATATTTAATGGCTGTCGCTCTCCTGGGGGTCACAGGCCTTTGGCTATAAACTGTTCCTTTCTCAGGTAGGGAGTTAGACTGTGTGACTGCCACATTGTAGCACTAACTACTTTTATACTTTCTCCAAAATCCTCCTCTTGAAATTCCTTTGCAATCCCTACGTGTTGCAGATTTATGACTATTGTTGATTTCCTGGGTCCTCATTCTTGAGGCCTCTTTTAGTTCAGGGTTCTTAGTGGGATATCTCATTGTTAGGTATTATAGGCTTTGAGAAAAGATCTCAGGAAGTGAATGGAAGAGGGACTTTCATCTTCTCCTATACAAAGTGTAGGGCAAACTACCTAAAAACTCTACCTTCTGGTGAAGAATGCTGCTGGATACTAGATGTAGGTCGGTCTTATTTTAAACTAGGTAGTCTCTTTTCTTCTGATACTCTGAGAACACTATTTCTCCAAGCACAGATGTTATTAGAAAAGGGGGGGGGAATCAATGATCAAATAAGTCTGGGAAATGCTGGATTAAATAAAATTGGAGAGTTTTCCTTCTTATATGACTTTTTAGATCCTTTGATCTGCTAAATGCTTGAGGATGCTGAAAGACAGAGTTAAAATATGCAGCACTTTCCCAAAATTCTTTGCCCACCTAATCTTTGTCTCAAGACTTTCCTCCGGGGACTAATGTTCTGAAAGTTACTTTGGGAAATGCTAGTCTAGACTTATAATACTTGGATTCAGTTCCTCTCAAGGAGAAATCAAAATCATAGTAAAGGAGAAAGGGACGGGGAAGAAATGGAAAAAGAATATAATTTTGCAAGGGCCTGGCAATACTTGAATTTCCTAAGGAAAAATGAGTTTCTCTGGGCACATAGCAAAGTTTCGGACTGTTCATATTTCCTCATTTTCATGTATTCTGATCTCTTAATAAAACTCAAGAGGCAACGTCAATATTTCATAACCCCTCTAGCAGAAGACACTGTGGCTCAAACTCTGGAGTTGCAGGAAGGTCAGGGCTGGAAGATTCATGGGAAGTGGGCCAGGAATCCCTGAAAAGATCTTTCCCTTTTAAGTGATCTCAGCTAACTTGGGTACATTAATTGAAACCCACCCAAATCAACCCATGATTAAGATTCTCACACTGTCACAGGCTGACATAAGGTTGTTATTTTCTCTTAACAAGAAGTTACTACTCATACATATTAGTATATGTGACTTAACAATTACCTATAGGGCTTATAATCAATTGAGAAGAATTTCCTAGTCTTTAATAACTGTTACCCTCTGGGACAGAACTTTATAATAACTGTTATTAAAGTTATTATAACAACTGTTACTAGGTCCCAAGTCTCAAGTATAGAGGAGGACATCATTTTCTAACTCTGGAACAATGTAATCTAAAAGGGCATCTAGCCCAAAAGATCTAGCCATTTCCATTACTGGAGTCAACCAAATAACCTACCAGTGTTCCTTGTTTAACTCTCCTTCACTAATTGAAAGGGTATGGCAATAGAGCCTATAGCCTTCATGACTACAACTGAAAACAACAAAATTATCTTCCTGGTCAAGGGAGTTTCACCTTTACCATGAAAGCCACTGCAGAGTCAGTTCCTAAACCATAGGAGCTCTAAGTAAGTTATAGTTACCTTCAATCCATCTTGCTCTTATTGACATGACCCAGAAAAGATCTGAACTAGATATGAGAAGACCTAGATTCTTGTCCCAAGACTGGATAGCAAACTCCCTGAAGGCAGTATCCTGTCCTGCTCATCATGCTTCTCCCCAGTCTCTGCATATTGGCTGGCACAGAATTTGTGCCCCAAATATACTTGAAAAAGCAAATAGCTAGCAGCAGGATTCTAGTATCTCACCCCCTCCCCAGGGCAAGGATTTCTCACCTGGAGAAGGGATGAGCCTGCCTCTCTATCCATGGGTTGCTGAGTGCATTCACTGAGGTGGTGAATGGGAAAGTGGAAGACCATCACCGTGTCCTCACAGCAGTAGTGAGAAAGGTGTGTCCTTCCAAGGACACACCGTATCCAGACACTCTTCCAGGAATGCTAACACTTCAGAAGGGCTCTACCCTGAGCAATCATTTCTGCCCTATGGCAACCTCTACTATCTATGGACAAACATAAGACCCCCATCCCAGTAGATAAGATATTCTAGCCTGTGATTACAGGTTTCTGGAATAGCAGCAGAAGGCCATTTTCATAGGAAGTATCATTCGTGATGCAGGTAAATTTGACCTGGCATCCAATTTCCAACATGACATATTAGGACATGTATCTCTATGATGAGACAAACCATCTGTTATCCTGTGTGACCACTCCTCTAATTTAGCTCCTAATGCTTTCTGCCTTTATTGTGCTCTCTGCTCCTGTCTCTCTGGTGGAGAGGGGAAGCCTAGAGTGGCCTCCTGGCATGTGTGCTTAAAGGAATGGCTACCATAAGGTCTACAGGCTTCCCGCCGATAAAACCTCACACTGACATTTGATGGGAAAAGGTAAAGAGCAAAGAGCATGAGCCAAAGAGCTGGGACCAAGAACAAGAGTGAAGAGATCAAGTTATCAGATGCCAGGTACACCCAGTAGGTGAATGTGGGAGGAGGTAATGGTGGTGAGAACCGAATAAATAAACCCAAAACCAAATAACAGTTCAGATACAAGATAATGACATACAGTTAATATGTCTCTACTTTCCAGATGTCCAAATCAAGATTCATTTTTGAGAGCAAAAAAAGATAAACTGGTGCCTAAATGTAGACGTCTTCTGCAAACACTTTCTGCAGCGTTGGGGGCTCTGAGGACAAATGCTTCAGCATGCAAGGGTCTGGCCAAGCCCAGGGGATAGGGAGCCTCTTGGTCTGGCTGCCTCCCTGTGCAGCACTGAGGAGGGCTTCTAATGTTCTGCTCTATATAAATAGTGCCCCCTGGAGTTGTACTCCTGGCAAAACGACCTGGAAACTGAATCTTAACTTCTCTGGGATACCAGTGACAACAAGATGAAAACAGAATCATCTGAAAAAAGTTTTAGGAGCATAACAAGCCCCTCCTTCCCCCAACAATGAAGCCCCCTCTTCACACAGGTAACTGTACCAAGCCCTGTCCAAAGACATCCACACTTACTCAGAGGCTTCCATTCCTTTGCCCATCGCCCCGCCCCTACTGAAAGGTAGTGTAGAAAGTATACTGGGATCACCAAGCACAGTAAAGGAAGAAGAACTGCCTATACTGACTACATTATCCTGATAGTTTCATTAATTTTCTAATGTGCCTAAGATTCACCTTCAAGAGTTTTAATACCATACATTATAAATAGTTTTTATATTTGGTGAATGAGTGTGAATATAGTGGAAAATTAGATGATTTTTATTTTTGTCAATTGAGCTTTTCAGTGGCTTCCCTGAGTGAAGGGAGAAGATAGGGTTCAAATTAAATAAACCAGACTCTTTGACTTCTCCAGCAAAATGGATTTCTCTTCTTGTTGTTTTACCCCATCCTTAATTTGCATCACTAAAGAATTTACTAGGAAAGTGCTCAGCAAACTGGAGGCTTCTCTGGTGGCCAAGCTCCAGGAAACAAAGTGCTTTCTTTTAAAACTCCGAAAAAGAGAGACATTCCAAAGTAACCTGCCATGAGATACCAGCAATAGACTCTTAACTCTATAAAAGAAGAAAGGAGGAGAGGAAAGAAAACGCCTAGCACAAATGAGAAAAGACAAAACCTTAAAGAGGAAGGAGAAAGGAAAACATTTAGATTCCTTGAGTGATGGAAATAAATACCAAAGCTATTAGTTTCAGTTCAAAGAACGTATCACTTTATGCTGTTTATTATTTCTTGGGGATTATTTATTTTATCTTAAAATATCCAAAGGGTAAAAGGGGTCCTGGAGGTAAGCAGCAATGAAACTGACCTGGTCCGGAGAGGGCCTGTGATTGGAATGTTGCGACCTCCCAGGAGATCGATGGTGGTGGTGGTGGTGGTGGTGGTGGTAATGGTGATGGTCTTCATCATAGTTGTCTGCCATCAGCTTCATTCTGTTCTGGGTCTGTGCAGAACAAAAACCAGGAAAGATTCCATCAGGAGCTAGAGGACCAGTCAAAGAGACTCAGGGCATAAGGACAGCACCTCTAGGACTCCCTTTGCTCTTAACCCAGAAGTTATCATTTCTAGTTATATTAAAACTCAATAAAGAGAACCATGCCATTAAATTGGTGAAGGAGGCTTTTGTCACACCCTTGAAGTTACTATGGTACATCTGTAGATATCAAGGTACTTCCCCCTTGTGACTTAAAAGAGAAAAAAATGGACATATGCTAAGGCACTTGTTTCACATTATCAAGCAATGACAGAGAACCAGAGTAAGCTTGCAATTACAAAGTGCCAACACTCACATCCTACACTCCAGAGCAAGCCAGAGAAGGAAGCCTTGATGGAAGAATGGAAAAGGATGGATGGAGACACAGAGCTACAAACAATGGAGTCACAAGACAAGGCAGGGAAATCCACTCGAAAGCTGCCAAATGTGAAAATACAGATGGAGATGGTTTATTGCTATGATGACTTCTTGGGAAGGGCTCTCTTTGGACATTTTAACTGATATTATCCCTTGAGGGAATTGAGCAAAAGGTTCAAAGTCCATGCAAAAAGGGCTGAGCACTTCAATTTACACCTCATGAAGTTCGTCACATGAGGCAAGTAGGTATCATAGTTAAACAACCTCCTGTCCCCCGACACTCATAGAATTATATTGCTCTGTTATGCAGGGCAAGAGATGGACCAGAGGGAAGTGACTTCACAGGGCCACAAAAATCTAGAAAAATTCTCAAGGACTATGGGGAAAAAAAAAAGTGTTAAAATTACCCAGCCCAGAAAGTCAAGAAATCTGGGGACAGGTCTGCCTGACTCTTTGCTGATTGTGTTGCATCAAGAAAGTTATCTCAATGCATAAATCTCAATTTCCTTAAGTCTAAAATGGGAGTAATCAGTCGTCTCTCCTTCAGGTTGCTGTGAGGAGCAAGTGAGATGAAGGGCTTCGAGTGTCAGTCCAGTACCTGATATGTAATGAGCTGACAGTAAAAGCCAAATACCATTACTACCATTATTGCTGGTATTCTTGATTGCTGTATGAAATTTCTCCTTTCTGCATGCTCCTTTGCTTTGCCTCTCCTCCCAATACCTCCCCTGGACCCTTTCTTTCACCCTGTGTGTTACTAACTCCTATCATTTTCTCTAGGAATCTTTTTCTTTTTTGGTGCTGGTGATGGAACTAACGTAGGGCTTCACACATGCTAAGCACATGCTCTACCACTGAGTCACACCCCAGCTCCTGGAGGAAGCTTTTCTTTCCCCCACCCTTTACGCTGGGTGGCACGTGCTTCCTGCTTACCATAGCTCTCTGACCATGGATTTATCTGTCCATCTGCTGTTAGACCTCAAGGCTGTTTCTTTCATCTGCATCTCCCCACAATCTAGCACAGGGCCACGCAGAAGCAGATATTCAATGCATGCTGCTATAATGAGTGACTGAAGAATGGCTTTGAAGGATGCTGCCATCCTAGAGAAAAACTGCACGTGTTGTGCAGGGGAGGTCATTGAGAGTTGAGGACACGGCATGAGTTTCCATAACCGTCCTGCTGGAGGCCCCAGATGAAAAGAAGCCATCAGCACCTTGAAAGAGCCAGAAGTCAGGGGTTGGCAGGATCACCAACTGGTTGGAGTTTTATTATGTAATATGAATAATTCTCTGATAAATAAAGAGAACTCTGGCCCTAACATGGAGCATTTTTACAGTATTTCCCCCTACAAGCTAACTTACTCTCAAAACTTTTCTGGGAGGAATTATTAATTATTATCCTCCTTTAGCAGCTAGAAAAGTAAGGCATAGATTTTAGAGTAATTTTCTCACCATGGGACATGGAGATTTTCTGGGTCTTCCAATCTTCAGACTATAGGTTTTTTCCCATGCCTTGCTGCTAGCAGAACAGGCAAACAGCTCGACAGGTAGAAATAGCTTTCCCATAGATGATTTGGTTCTGTTAAGTTTTGGAAACACCTCACAACCCAATTCCACCTGCCAAAGGATGTCTCATGATTTATTTGTTCCATCTTTTAAAATGTGTACAATATTTGGAAGGTCCCAGAGTGAATATAAAAAAAATGCATGTATATGATAAAAACAATAAAAACATAGGAAAAGATCCACTTAAAAATTAAAAAAAAAAAAATCCCAGGCAACCTTTGGCAGCTGATAGCATTTCCATCTTTTCCTTGTCCACTTAATGTGTCAGAAGACCCAATGGACAAGTTAGGCCTTGTGAGAAAGAGCAGGGCCATGGAGCTCTTGGGGACCAAGTGCCGAAGATTCCTCTCAGTCCTGCCGCCCTTGAACATGGGATTCTGAAGTTCAATGTTCACACCTAAAATTCCAGTTTTGTCACGGGAGAATGTACTTTTGAACTCACAAACTAATAAATCTGGAATTGTTTCTTCTAAATAAAATTGTGAGAGCCTGAAGGGAGCTGTGAGATCTTCGATGGTCAAGGAGGAAGGGACTAGCCCAGGCATGAATGATGGAGCCCAAATGAACAAATAATAACTCTGCTATTGTAAACATTGTAATGTCCTTATCCTTTGGGGAAGCTCCTGTGATTTCATGAGATTATTTTCTTACCAGCAACAAGCCTAAAGTTCCCTACCTTTGAACTGTATCCCATAAAAGAATGCACAAGCTAAACAAGATGCTATATGCAGTCCTAAATGTGTCCGCTGAAACGAGGTGTTGGAGAGCAGGCATGTCATGGGATAAAGACTGTAAATGAATGATGTCATCTTTCCAATTTGGTGCTGAAATATAAATAAACCATGTTGTTCATGTGAATACCAGATCTGGGGGAAATGTACACAGAGCAATTGTGAACGGAAGAGGCTCCTTTTGATTAGTCTGGGCTGGGAGAGAAGAGTGTGAAACAGAGATGAAAAATGAGGGTTTGGTCTGATACTCTGGACCATTTTTTATTTATCTTGCTTGTAACACATCCCCTAAACTGTGACTGATTTCTTACAGGCTGGTTGCTAGTGTTCTCTCTCTCAAAACAATCTGACCAATCTGGCTCCATTAATTCAAATTGCAATTGGACCTCCTTTTGATTTTTTTAAATTTTTTTCCAATCTGTACTACCTATCCTCACCTCCACCCAATGATATTGGTTTCCTAGCATATAGAGAATGATCCGGAAGGATAGGAAGTCACAAATAACACTCCCTAGTAGTCAATGGAAGAAAAACTGTAGAAAGTTTTAACAGGGATTAGAATAAAGATATTATCTGTAGTTTGACCAGGTGACCCCAGATATAATGGGTCACATCTCTGAAGCCATCAGACTTACATGAGACCGGACAAAGCCTTAAGCAGCAGATCTTCAGGACTGTCCTCACTGAAAACCTAAGAAAACTAGTTGCAAGCTGTAGAGAGACAGTTTCCCACAGCGTAGCCCCTGGACGGTAGGGACTCATTTAGTGATTCAAGAAAGTCCACTTTTGCCGGGTGTGGTGGCTACATGCCTGTAATCTCAGTAGCTCAAGAGGCTGAGACAGGAGGATCATGAGATCAAAGCCAGCCTCAGCAATGGTGAGGCACTAAGCAACTCAGTAAGACCCTGTCTCTAAATAAAATATAAAATAGCGCTGCAGATGTGGCTCAGTGGTCAAGTGCCCCTGAGTTCAATCCCCTGCACAAAAAAAAAAAAAAAAGAAAAGAAAAGAAAAAAAGAAAGCCTACTTTTTCCTTCTTCAGTATCCACCAACCTGCTAACTTGATGTTTTTGCCTTTGGTTATCTCATTTAATCCGGTTTCATTCTCTGTTTCCTCATTTTTCCAGGCAAAGGTTTGTGTCTCCAGGGCCTTGACCTCCTAAGGATGCTCCTGCTGCACTGTTGCCTCCCTTCAGATGTGAATGTTCTGCAGCCAGAGTAACATCACATGCTGTGCATTTGGCTCTGCAGAGGCTCCCTGCTGTCCTCAGGAAAAGAGCCCTGTTCCCCAAGTGCTTACAAGTCTCTGGCAGGTGACTGCTATTTCCCTCTCCAGCCCCACCTCTCTCTCTCCTTCCTCCTTCCAGCCTTGGGACAAGTCTGTTCTCTGTTTCCGCTGTGCCCTTCATCCTCTAGCCCTTAAACCTAAGTTAGACTCATTAGTTCTTCAGGTCTTAGTGTCAACATCATGACCTCTACACACACCTTCCCTGAGCCCACCTCGTGAGGGCTTATGTGATCTTCCATTGCTTCCTAGGGAATCCTTTACCACACACCTCCCCGCCCCACCACCACCCTTTGCCTTACAGTGCTTACCTCTGAGAATGGTAAACAATTGCATGTTTGCTTGGATTTCTCTACCACCAGGCTGAAAGTCTCTCAAGGGGAGCACTATGCCTGGATTTCCCTTGTACTTGCCACCTGGGGCAGAGCCTGGTGTAAAAGCAGTAAGGAAATGTGTCTCAGCAGTGCATGCAGGTAGGAAAGAAGGAATGCAGAGGGCACCGGTGACTTTGGAACAGAGAGGGAAAACCATACAATGAGAGTCTGTGATGAACCAGTTCAGTATTTAACTCTTGATGTGATAGTTTAACTTTTCCTGTTGTGTATGGTTTTGGTGGCTGTTCTTGGGAGTGGGGAGAGCAGGGTGAAATGTGTAGGGCAAGCCAAACTGGGCTTCTTCAAGAAATATTCTATTCCTCAGTAAACTGGATCCGGCGACTTAGTCTTATACTTGCCCACTTGCTCATCTCATTAGGAATAAGGGGAACTGGTGTGCTCTTGGTGCATTTTCTTACTATCCCCAGCCTTTGGAAGAGCAGGGGACTTTGGAAGGCTTTTGTTAAGTGCCAAAAGTCAACCATGGAAAACAGAAACTTTATCCATTAACTAAAATTCCTGATAGACAACATCTGTGAAAAGATGCCAGAGACTGCATCTCTTTTGACATTTCTGAAGAGTTTATCCAAGGAGCTCTTGAAACTAAATTAAAATCCTTGATTGACTAGTAATTGG